CCCAAGATGACCCCAATGTGGCCCCAAAATGCCTCCAAGATGATCACATAATGCCCCCACGAAAGTGAAGGACGGACAACTGTAGGAGGCCGAGTAGGACTTGAAGAAGCCTGGGAAGCAGGAGCGTGGGAGTGCGGGGGCGTAGGGGTGTGGGAGGGGGGCGCCGAGGCCCCACTGTAGGAATCCATTATCCCTCAGTGAATTGCGAAGACGTCTCGAGCGGGAGCCTTCCGCGTTGTTGTCGTTGCTGCTGTTGCTGTTGCTGTTGCTGTTGCTGTTGCTGTTGTTGTTGCTGTTGATGTCGTTGTTGTTGTTGTTGTTGTTGTTGTTGGTGTTGTTGTTGTTGTTGTTTATGAACTCCCACTCCTGAAGAATAATTGTTGTTGATCCCCCCCGTCCGGTGCACATTGCTCCTTTTTATTCAAGTGCCCTTCCCCGGGCTCGCACCCTGTTTTGTTAATCAGGGAAAGTCTTGAGGGTCAAACTGTGTCGTTGGCCCCCGGTTTACATCAACAACAACAACGGCTCCCGCCTGAGACTTCCTCATAATTTAGCCAGGACCCCCGCTCCCGCCAGAGACTCCCTCGCGTTTTGTTCAGGAATCGCGCTCTCGCTTTGGACTTTCTTAGAATGTATCATCCTGGCGCTCTGGAATCGCGCTCTCGCTGGAGACTTGCTTGCAATTTGCTGCAGAATAGCGCCCTTGCGTTGGAATTTCTTGCAATTTACTCAAGCGCCGCGCTCCCGACACCCAGGCACCCAGGAGTCGCGCTCACGCTTAGGACTCCCTCACAGATTACATCGGAATCGGGATCTCGTTGCCCTTCGTGGCCCCGTTGCAACCCTTCGTGGCCCCCTCGCTTTGTTTCGTGGCCCCGTTGCAGCCCTTCGTGGCCCCCTCGCTGCCTTTCGTGGCCCCGTTGCAGCCCCTCGAGGCCTCCTCGCTGCCCTTCGTGGCCCAGTTGCAATCCTTCGTGGCCCCCTCGCTTTGTTTCGTGGCCCCGTTGCAGCCCTTCGTGGCCCCTTCGCTGCCCTTCGTGGCCTCGTCGCAGCCCCTCGTGGCCCCGTTGCATCCGTTCGTGGCCCCCTCGCTGCCCTTCGTGGCCCCACATATATGTATGCCCTTGGTGGCCCCCGCTCGTTCGCGCCCATGGTGGCCCCATATGCATCTGTCCTACGTGGCCCAGTTGCTGCCCTCAGTGGCCCCATCGTTGCCTTCTGTGGCCCCGCATTATCTGCCCTTCGTGGCCCCCGTTCCTTCGCGCTCTTCGCGGCCCCATACGCATTCCCTTCGTGTCCCCGCTGTTGCCCTTCGTGGCCTACTTCGTGTCCTTGTGGCCCTGCTGTCGTTCTCTTTCGCTCTCGCTTTCGCTCGTCGTCGTCGTCGCCGTCGTCGTCGTCGCCGTCGTCGTCGACGTCGTCGTCGTCGTCGTTGTCGTCGTCGTGGTCGGTCCCCTGTCCGTCCCTCCTGGGGTCGGGTCGACGGTCCGCGGCCGCCCCGCCGATCAGCGCTGCCGCTGGCCATTCCGACGGTCCGCGGCCGCCCCGCCGCTTGCTGGGGCCCGGCCTGCGGGGAAGAACAGTGTACCCCCAAAAGGGGTTCGATCGAAGACGAAGAGGGCGGGTACCGAGGGTTTGGGAAATAGGCATTATTGGACACTCGAGCAGATAAAGGGCGAACAATATTAGCATGATTGTTGTTGTTGTTGTTGTTGTTGTTGTTGTTGTGAGGGGGATGGTTGGGGGGCGCCGGGATCCAGCACCCGCTCCTATTCGACAACAACAACAGCAACAACAACATCAACAACAACAACATCAACAACAACAACAGCAACAACAACATCAACAATAACAACAAACACAACAGCAACACCAACAGCAACAGAGCACGGCATTAGCAGCAGGTGGGCTAGGAGCAGAAAGCACGTGGCAAAACCAAGCGGGCTCATCGGGTGGGTGGGTGGGTGGAGCCTAGGCGGGTCGGGAAGGCGGTCCCAACCGGGCAGGCGGGTTGCTGCAACGTGAATATTGCGTGAATTGCGAGGAGTGCTCGAGCGATAATGCCATTCAGAAGTAAATAACGAAAAAGGCCAATACGAGAACGCGACTCCTGAGTGTCGAGGGCGCGGCGTCTGAATACATTGTAAGGAACTCTCTTGCGAGAGCGCGATTCCTGCATAACTTGTGAGGAATTCCCGCGCGAGAGCGCAATTTGGGAATACATGGTGAGGAAGTATCCGGCGGGAGCCGTTGCTGTTTTTGTTGTTCTTGTTGTAACTCGGCGGCCAGGGGCCCAACTTGGTGACCCCGCGCGTACCCGCGTAAAAAGCAGGGTGCGAGCCCTGAGAAAGGCACTTCAATATAACAAAACTCAATGTGCCCCAGAATGGGATCAACAGTAATTTCTTCGAAGTGAGAATTCAACAGCAACACCAACAACAGCAGCAACATCAACACCACCAACAACAATAACAACAAAAACGACAACACCAGCAACACTCATTTTGAGACTGTTCGCTCATGTCTGCTCGCGTGCCATTCAACACGTATATCCCAAACACTCGATACCCGCCTCTTTGTCTTCGACCACACCCCCTTGGGGGTATATCTCTTACTTGCAACTATATTTCGTGCAGCCCCCAAGGCAGAGGAAGAGAGGACGGATGGCAGGAAGAGACAAGGGGGGGATGATAATGGAGCGCGAGAGCAAGTAGCAGAAGGGGGGCTACGAGCAGAAAACATGCGGAAGAACCAGACGGGCAGATCGGGCGAGTAGACCCTACCAGGCGGGTCGGGAAGTCAGGCCCAAGCGGCGAGGTCGAGAAGGGGGTTGCTGAAGCGTGCGTCCTGCATGAACCGCGAGGAAGTCTCGAGCGACAGCCCCATTCCCAAATCAATCGTGAGGAGATCCACAGCGAGAGCGTGACTGCTGAATGTCGAGGGCACGGCGTCTGAATACATTGCGAAGAAGTCCCACGCGAGAGCGCAATTCCTGCATACATTGTGACGAAATCCCGCGCGAGAGCGCGATGTCGGAATAACTTGTCAGGACGTATCAGGCGGGAACCGTTGTTATTGTAAACCGGGTGCCAACACCATAATTCTGAGACTCAAGACTTTCCCGGTTAAGAAAACAAAATGCGAGCCCTGGGAAGGGCACTTTCGTTGAAAAACGCAATGTGCCCCAAAGGGGGGGATCGGCAATAACCATTATTTAGAAATGAGCTTGAAGTCAACAAGAACAAACCATCAACAACAATAGTAATAATAACATCAACACCAACAGCAGCAACAACAACAATAATCGTTTTAATACTGCTCGCTCTTACCTGCTCGCGTGCCACTCAGTACGTATATCCAAAACCCTCGATATCAGCCCACTTCGTATTCGATCGTACCCCCTGTGGGCATATCTTTCTTACCTGCCGCGTGTAATTTGTGCGGCCCCTGAAGCAAGGGAAGAGAAGACAGATGGAAAGGGGAGAGAGAAGGACGGAACAGGAAATTCGCAAGACGGGGGCTAGGAACAGAAAACACGTGGCAGAACCCGACGGGTCCATCTGGCGGGTAGACCCTAACAGGCGGGTCGGGAAGGGGGGCCCAAGCGGCCAGGTTGAGAAGGCGTGTTGCTGACGCGTGCGTCCTGCATGAATCGCGAGGAGAGCTCGAGCGATAGTGCGATCCCCAAGCAAATCATGAGAAAGGCCCAAGCGAGAGCGCGATTCCTGAGTTTCGAAGGCGCGGCGTCTGAATAGATTGCGAGGAATTCCCACGCACGACCGCGATTCCTGCATACATTGTGAGGAAGTCCAGCGCGAGAGCGCGATTTTTGAAGACATGGTGAGGAAGTATCAGGCAGGAGCCGTTGTTGTAACTCGTCCGCCAGGGGCCGAATTTCGTAACCCCTCTCTTTCCCTGGGGGGGGGGGGGGCATTTCAATTGGAAAAGTACGCCCCAGGGGGGGATCAACAGCAAATATTTGCTAGAACGGAGAATTCAACAACATCACCACCAACAGCACCACCAACAGCAACACCGCCAGCAACAACATCGGCAACATCACCAACAGCAACAACAACAGCAACAGCAACAACAGCAGCAACAGCAACTGCAACAGCAACAACAGCAGCAGCAACATTAACAATCATTTTAAGGCTGCTCGCTCTTCTCTGTTCGCGTGCCAGTCAACACGTATATCCCAAACCCTCGGTACCCGCCCTCTTCGTCTTCGATCGTGCCCCCTCGGGGGTGCATATCTTTCTTGCCTGCAGCGCACATTCGCTGCAACTCCCAAGGCAGGGGAAGAGAGGACGGATGAAAGCAAGGGGGCAAGGGGGAGGGAGGAGGATGGAGCACGAGAGCGAATAGCAGGAGGGGGGCTGGGAGCAGAGAGCAAGCGGCAGAACCAGACGGGCAGATCGAGCGGGTAGCCCCTGAGAGGCGGGTCGGGAAGTCGGGCCCAGGCGGCCAGGTCGAGCAGGCGGGCTGCCAAAGCGTGCGTCCTGCATGAATCGCGAGGAAGTCTCGAGCGACAGCCCGATCCCCAAATCAATCGTGAGGAGATCCACAGCGATAGCGTGACTCCTGAATGTCGAGGGCGCGGCGTCTGAATAAATCGCGGAGAAGTCCCACGCGAGGGCGCGATTCCTGAAACATTTGAGGAGATCCCTCGCGAGATCACGATTTGGGAATCAGCTGTGAGGAAGTATCAGGCGGGAGCCGTTGTTGTTGTAGTTCGGGGGCCAACAATGCAATTTGAGGAAGAAGCTTGCCCTGATCATAAACAGGGTGCGAGCCCCGGGAAAGGTACTTCATTGAAAACGCATATGTTACCGGAGGGGGATCAACAATACTTGTTCTTCTGCAATGAAAGTTCAACACCAACGACAACACCACCAATAAGCAACAACAAAACCACCATCACCACCACCACCAACAGCAACAGCAACAGCAACAACAACATCATCAGCACCAACAACAACAAAAGCGCGGCTCGGCTCCTTGACGTGGTCGGAGGTGCCGAACATCACGCCCTCAAGGGCGTCGGCCTCCCCGCCGCACTCCCAAACACGCTGGCATCGCAAACGGAATCACGGCGGGAGGTTTTGACCGTCTTCGACCTCCAGGGGCCCTCGCCGGGCCCCCGGGATCGTCAACAGGACTCAAGACAGGAACAGACCGATACCACCTTGCCTCGTTTTCGCCGTTCGGGCCTCCTGGGAGGCCCTCGACGCCACCGCTGGATTCGCCTCAAATTATGGTCCCAACCCACCCCAAGAGAGGTCCGGGGAGTAGCGGTATCGGCACCTCTTGGCTTCCCCGAAGGCGATGCGGAATGAGACACCTGGCCCAAAGAACGGGTGTGCTGAAGGGGGGTAGGGGGAGGGGGGAAAGCGTCTCAGAAAGAGGCTGCTTCGTGGAAGGCGCCGGCCTTATCCGGCGCCGTCCGTCTAAGAAGCAGCCTCCTTCCAAGAAGCCTCCCCCCCTTCCCCCTGCCCCCCTTCTGCGCGCCGCCGAATCGAGCCATCAAGCGCGTGGGACCCACGTGCGGCAGGTCCGTGCCGTGACGGCCATCGGGGGCATCGGCCTCGCCGACCCCGCGCGGCATCGTGCAGCCTTGGACGATCGCGGCTTGGCGACAGGGCGTGTCTGAAGGGGCCCACAAACACACAAATACATACACACAACTAAAAGGATCCACCATATATTTCCCCATATTTTCTGGGTTTTTTGTCTTCTGTTTCCCACTTCCCATATCTTCCCATATTTTCTGGGGAATCCACGGCTGATTGTGTCTGCGTGTTTTTTCCCCTCCTGAATGTCGACCCACGTCGGCCCATGCCGTGCCTCCGGGGGCGCTCGGCCTGGAGCGCCCGCGCGGGGGCCGCCGCCGCGTCGTCGCGGCACGAGCCCGCTGCGTGCAGTCGCCCCGGGCCGGTCCTCCGCGTCTGCCCGATGCCCCGCGGAAGCCCCTGCTGCGAGGCCGCCGTGGCAGCACAGCAGCAGCTCGGCCCCGGCCTTTCGTCCCGGGCTCGGTTTCGCGAAGTGATGGATTTCGGGGCCCCTGCGTGGGGAGAAACGTCACTTCACTAAGCTGGGGCCCCTGGGGCCTCAGGGGGCCCTGGGGCCCAAAATCAGTGAAGTGATGGTTTCCGGGCCTCGGATCTGCCGACGGTCACGGCTCCTGTCACGGCGTGGGCCCTTGGAGGTCCAGACCCTCTCCGTCGGACCGCAAGGCCACCTTTTCCGTCTGCACCGTGTTTGACCGTCTTCTGGGTCCCGGGCATGGGACCCACAGAAGCCAAACATCTCCCTTCTCGCGTTTTTCCTCCCCACGCGAGGAGGTCTGGGCCTGATAATGAAGATGCGGCTGAGAAAGGTGAGGCGATGGAAGAGGAAGGGGAGGAGGAGGAATCCTGCTCAGCACTTTCCGTGCTCTCGTCGAGAGGGGAGGAGGAGGAGAAGTGCAAACCCAACACTCCACAAAGATGTTGCAGTACGCCCCGCCTCCAAGTGCCCTCTCCCAGGCCCCTACTAGGACTCATTCTCACTGGAGGAGGTGCCCCCTCTGGAAGACAGGCGTTTGACATCCCGAACTGTGCCGAACTCGCTTCCCGGGGCTTCCGTTCCAGGAGCCGCCGCAAATGTTGCGTCCTGGCGATTCTGCATCGCGCCCGCAAGCCACTCCTGGGACTCGAACACCACGAATCAGCGAAACTGTTGAGCCCTGACAATCCGACGAACCATTGCAATCCTTGAAACGGCTGAACAACTCTGGAAACGACTGTTCCTGGCGCGAAGACGAGAACCACATTTTGAAAACCATCCGCCCTCCATCCGTGAGATGTTTGCACATGAGTCAAACGAATGTGGTCGACGCAAAAAGGGATCACAACATGTTGAAAACGGCCCGCCCTCCCATCCGTGAAGCTCGCGCAATGTTTTAACACGGATGTGCGCGGCGCCAAGGTGAGAACCACATTTTGAAAACTGCCCGTCCTCCATCCGTAGATAACGCAGGGGCGTATCATTGTATAGCTGCTTGCGCGCATTCGGAGGGGTCACTGAGCACTGACACCGCTGATCCTAAAGCGGGATGGCGCATCGCCACATGGGGCTTGCGATGTGCAGGACGCCGACCTGCTTCGTTTGGCCCCAGGAAACCAAATAGAGCACCTTGGGGAAGAACCCCCCCTCCAACCGCCTTTTGACCCCCCCAGCTCGTCCTCCATTAACGTCTCTTCAGATCGCCTAGCACTTGCCTCGCCTACTTCGAGGCCCCTTGCGAACGGGGGGCTGCGCGGCAGAAATCCTTAACCCCTCGCTGCAGGATGGATCTCTTCCATTTCTGCGCACTCCAGCTCTCGCTTCGGCCTCAACTGTGGGTGCACGTCGAAACGCCTCCCAGCCAGCTCGCCCGACCTGGCTCTCCACTCACGCTGGCGCCTTCCTTCCAAGCGCTGAGGGGGCACGACAAGGGGGGCAGGGGGGACTGCCTGCGTTTCCCTTCCTCCCCCCCTTCGCGGGACAGCACTTTCTGTCCAGGCCCCGCGTGGCGACGCGCAGGGCTCTGGCCAGAAGGGCCTAGGAGCCTCCTCCTCCTCCTCCTCCTCCTCCTCCTCCCCAGACCCCCGACGTCATGAATTTTTCATGACGTCGACCCCCAGCGGTCTGGACCCATTCCCCGGGACCGTTTTTTCGTCCTGAGTCGTTTTTTGACGGTCCCGAGGGCCGGTAAGGGCCCCCAGAGGCCAAAAATAATCAAAAACCTCCCGTCGTGATTTTTTCATAACTCGAGGGGGTCTGGGTCCTTCGCGACAGGCGGGCGATCGGGGGTCTCCTGGCCCGCAGACAAACTCCCAGGGCCTCTGGCGGCGCCGGAGGCCCCGGGAGCAGAAGCACGCGCACGCCCCAGGCCGTGCTCGGCCGGGGCCCCGGCGCTTCCGGCCAGAGCCGGAGGCGTCGGGAAAAGAAACAGCACGGAGAGAGCGTCGCCCGGGGGGGGGCCCTCTTCCCAGACCCCCTCGAGATAGAAAAAAATCACGACGAGAGGTTTCTCACTATCTTTAGCCTCTGGGGGCCCTTACCGGCCCTCGGGACCGTCAAAAAACGACTCGGGACGAAAAACCGGTCCCGGGGAATGGGTCGAGACCTCGGGGGGTCGACGTCATGAAAAAATCATGACGTCGGGGGTCTGGGTTCACCTCCTACAGTCATCGGCCGGTCCTAAGGAACGATACATAAGGAACGAGGCCCCTGTTTTTTATCCCAAGGCCCAAGGAATTAACGCATCAGGAACGAGAAATAACAGATAACGCATCAGGAGCTGGAAATAACGCATGGAGACCTAAGGAACGACCGAACCCCTTTTGAAAAGTAAGTGTTCCTTATTCAAGCCGCTCACTGTAGAGCATCGGCCGGGGGCTAGGGAGCCCACAAGGGCCGTGCGCGCCCAGCCGCGTGCACGAGCACGGCCCCGCCGTCCGCGGAGCCAGCCTCGTGCTGCGAGCATCTGCGCGGGGCGCAGCGCCGAAAGCAGCGCGGGCTCCTGTGCGCGCACGTCCTTCGTTCGCTCCTGACCTGGGCCAATGCTCACCACCTGTCGGGCCGGGCGAAAGGGGGGGATAGCAAAGGAGGGGTTTGAGAATCAGCTCGCGTAGCTGATTTCCCCGGCGCCTCCCGGCGCCGGAGGCGCCCATGTATCGAGGAATGGGCCCCTCGGTGGGGCCGAATCCAGCTGCATGCAGCAAATTTCGTAACCCCCCCTTTCCCAATCCCCCCCTTTCGTCCGGCCCGAACCTGAACCCGCCCCCCCCCCTCCTCCCCCGCCCCTGGCCTTCGACGCCGAGACTTTTCCACAGGGTGGACCCCCGGGGCGGGCTCTTCATCCCGAGTCGTTGTCTCACGACCCCGGGGCTTGGCGAGGACTCCCGAGGGCGAACAACAACTAAAACCTTCCGTCGCTACTCTTCTGCACAAAAAAGCAGTCCGCATAACCATAAACGTCTGGATGCTAGTGCGGAATTCCTGGGAGGCGCCGCCAGGGGGCCAGGGGGGGGGGGCAGCGCCGGTCCAAGAAATTCGCGCGGACCGCCGAACTTTATGCCTATGCAGTTTTCCCTTCCTCGACGCAAAGCCCGAGGAGGTCTGGCCCCGCGCGGGCGATCCGTGGCATTCGCCAGCGCGTAGGACGACTCGTTGGCGTCCTCTGAGGGGCAACGATAGGGGAGAGTAGGTGTAGGGGGGGATGCATCCACCTTGAATGGCCGATCAACCGCCCTTGCAGCGTCGACACGTCGTCGATGCAGACCACCCCAGGTCCGCTCTCATATCGACGATGCATCGGCGGTGCAGCGTCGATGTATTAGCCAGTCGAGGTCGATGCCACTCCCCTCAGCCCAGGACCCCCTGAGGCTGCCCTGGAGCCTGTTTTTTTTCAGACTCTGGCAAGTTTACTTGCATGGACGGGGGGGGGGGCTGAGCCTGAAGCAAGCCCGGGGGAAGGGGGGGGCGCGGAAATCACGCAAGTCGAAAGGCACTTGCACGCTAGTATTCGCTTGAAGAGGGGCGAGGGGGGGGGGGGGGGCGAACGCCATGCAAGTAAACTTGCCTGAATCCCAAAAAAACAGGCTCCTGGCGATCCTCGGCCGGCACCGTCGTGGCGGCCGGCGCCGCGGCGGCGTCGACGACGGGCCAGGCGCCGCGAGGCGCGGCGGGCGCGCCGGGCGGCGCGGGCCCGGGCGCGCCGCAGAGGCGCTGAATGTCCGACCCGCCGGGCGCGCCGGCCCGGCGCCAGGGCCGCGAGGTGAGTCCACGAGGCTGAACAAAAACCGATCGGGGGCCAGGAGGCATCCCACCAGCCCTTTCCAGGGCGTGGGCGGCTTCGCAGGGCTCCTCCTCCAGTCCCCCTTCTGTTCCCCCTGCTTCCCCGTCCGGGCATGGTCTCTGGAACGGCGTGCAGGGCCTGCTGGCGCCAAGGTGCCATGCTATCAGGAGCAGGCGGAGGAGGAGGCCGAGGAGGAGGCGGAGGAGGAGGCGGAGGAGGAGGAGGACGAGGAGAAGGAGGAGGAGGAGGAAAAGGAGGAAAAGGGGGAGGAGGAGGGGGACGAGGAGGAGGAGGAGGAGGAGGGGGATTGTGCGAATCGTCTAGAATAAATGCTTAAGCGGTCTGTCTGTTCGGGTGGCCGGTCTGTCAACGTCCGCCGCCTCCCGGGGTCCGGTCGCCGGTCCCAGGCCGTGGTGCCACCACGAAACGGCTCTGGAGGACAAGGGCGGCCCTCGGGGAGGGGTCGAGAGGTCCAGGGGTCCACGCAGCTTACAGGTCGAGTCACGCAGATCAAAACAACGGATGTCTGGAAGGGAGAGACCAGGATCGGGATGAAGTCGGATGATGATTTGTGGGTCTCAACGGCGCCACCACAGAGACGTCGTCACCAGCAGTGCGGGAGCTGCTGGCGGAAGCTGCAAAACAACCGCAAAACAACAGATCAGTCCGCAGAGTTTTGCTGGGAGGGACGCTGGCAGGGGGGCGAGGAAGTCGTAGGACGAGAATACAAGGCAGGACGAGGACGCGCTTGAGGAGGAGGAGGACCAGGAGAGGATGAGGCAATCCAAAAAAGAGATGAGAAAAGTGGGGAAGACTGAGCAATGGGATGATAAGGATCTAGCTCATTCTCTCCATCCCCCTCCCTCCTCCCTCACCGCTCCACCCTCCATCTCTCCTCCTGGAACCTCTCCTCTCCCTGTCGCTCAGGGTGGGCGCGTCACTTGCGACCTTTAACCTGAAATCACAAACAATTCCTCGGATGGACGGCGGGTGGTTTTCAAATTCAAGCTATCGCCTGGGCGCCGCGAACACTTGTCTAGAACAAACTTCCAACCGAGGGCGGGTGGTTGTTCAAATCGGGCTCCCGTCTGGGTGCCGCGCGCATTCGCCTTTTATTCAATCGGCGGTTGCACTGATGGAGGGCGAATCGTTGTCTGCATGGGGTTCCAACGCAGGCGCCGCGCATACATTTCAACATGTTCTGAAGGTGCTCAAATGGAGGGCGAATCGTTGTCAACATACCTCTCCCACCTTGGCGCCGCGCTCAGTTGTCCTGAACATTACAAGCCGTGCACGGATGGAGGGCGCATCCGTGTTTCTGTGCTGGGCACTCGCCTGAGACCTCGTTCGACTAAATGGCCGGTTGCGGAAACCCTGAACCCCAAAATGCTTCCATCTCTAGGCTAGGGCTCCCAACTTCGCGCTTCGCGCTGCGCGAAGCGCGAATAACTTCGCGCTCTCGCGCCGCCCTCCCAAAGGGAGAATAGGAGGACGAGGAGGAGGGGGAGAAGGAACGAGGACCGCGAAGCGCGAAGCGCGAATAACTTCGCACCCTCGTGGGAGCCCTTGCTAGGGGACGCATCGCTTACTTCCGCCGGCTTCCGCCGCCCTTCGCACGCCCTCCGCCGGCGGAGGCGGCCCCCGCCTTACTTCCGCCGCCGTCCGCCAGCCTTCCGCCGACGGGAAGAGATGGCAGTTCCCTCGATCCCCCAAAGGCGAGGCCCTTTCTGGAACGCCTCATGCGGCGAGGCGCCTGAGTCAGTGTAACTGAAGGGGCCCTGGGACATACAAATAAACGGACACAAATATCAACAGATGCCCCGTATGCTCCCACAGTTGTGGGGTTCATGTCTCCCCCCCTTGCCATATTTTCCCATACTCCGGGGGAATGGGCGACGAACTGTGTCTGTGTGTTTTTGTCCCCCCCTTTGCAACCGCTGTACGGTTGGATGGCGGCTCCTCTTCGAAACGGGGCTGCCGCCGGACACCTCCTCGAGCAAGGGCTCCCAACTTCGCGCTTCGCGCTGCGCGAAGCGCGAATAACTTAGCGCTCTCGCGCCGCCCTCCCAAAGGGAGAATAGGAGGACGAGGAGGAGGGGGAGAAGGAACGAGGACCGCGAAGCGCGAAGCGCGACTAACTTCGCGCCCTCGAGGGAGCCCTTGCATCTCTAGGGGACGCATCGCTTACTTCCGCCGGCTTCCGCCGCCCTTCGCACGCCCTCCGCCGGCGGAGGCGGCCCCGCTCTACCTCCGCCGCCGTCCGCCAGCCTTCCGCCGAGGGGAAGAGATGGCAGTTCCCTCGATCCCCCCAAAGGCGAGGCCCTTTCTGGAACGCCTCGTGCGGCGAGGCGCCTGAGTCAGTGTAACTGAAGGGGCCCTGGGACATACAAACAAACAGGCACAAATCAACAGATGCCCCGTATGCTCCCACAGTTGTGGGGTTCATGTCTCCCCCCCCCTGCCATATCTTCCCATACTTCGGGGGAATGGGCGACGAATTGTGTCTGTGTGTTTTTGTCCCCCCCTTTGCAACCGCTGTACGGTTGGATGGCGGCTCCTCTTCGAAACGGGGCTGCCGCCGGACACCTCCTCGAGGGTCCTCTGCAAGGAGGAGGAGGAGGAGGAGGAGGAGGAGGAGGAGGAGGAGGGGGGAAGGGCGGGCAGCGTCTCTCGAGGCGGTGCTCCCGCCCGAGCTGTGTGGCCCACGGGGCGCGCCTGGCTCCATGGGGGCACCTCGCGCCGTGGAACGAAGGATTGCAAAAAACCGAAGGATTGCAAAAAAACAAAAAAACAAGGATTGCAAAAAAACCCTTCGTCCAAGGTTTTTTTGCAATCCTTCGTTTTTTTGCAATCCTTCGGTTGTTTTGCAATCCTTCGGTTTTTTTGCAATCCTTCGCTCCCCGTCTGGATTTCTGGGAAGGCGCGGGGTGGGGGAGGGCGGGACGGGAGGGTGCATTGCAGCATCGGCGACAGATGTCTGGGCTCATGCTGGCCCTCCCTGTTCCCCCTCCTCCCACAGCGCCCTCTGCTGCGCCGCCTTTCCCTCCTCCGCCTCCTCCTCTTCCACCGCATCCGTTTCTCCTCTCTTCCTGCTCCCCTCTTCATACTCTCCCTCCCTGCCCCTCCGCCCCCATACATCCCTTGGACACCTCCGTAAGCCGCCAACAGCTCTCCTCCTCCTCCTCCTCCTCCTCCAAAGGCGCCGCCCATCCAGAAAGCCCAGTTCACGTTCAGGAGCGATAGCGAAAGGTGGGATGAGGAGGAGTGGGATGAGGAAGAGGACGAGGAGGAGGAGGCATAGCATCACTGAGGGAGCTATACCATTCCCCCGCCAACCTCTACCGTTGCCGGATAAGGAAGAGGTGCGAGGATGGAGGAATATGAGGAAGAGCAGGACGAGAACGAACCACCATACATTGACGGGATGATTAGTGCGAAGAGGAAGCGGAGGGAGTTTGAGGAGGGGGAGAAGGAGCAGGAGGCGGATAAACGATGAGAAGGATAAGACCGGATATCAGGAATGAAAGAGGATTGATGACTATGTAGATGCAGCATGAGGAAAGTCATGAAGGTGGCGAGGGGCATGTAACAGCGGAAGGAGGAGCAGGACGAGGACGAGGAGGGTAAGCAACGGAGAGGAGGGGAGGAGGAGCGAGGAGGGGTATGGAGAGGGAGGAGGGGGTGAGAGGGCGGAGGACAAGGGAAGGAGGCATGGAGGGAGGGACTGGGGGTCCCAAAACGGTGTCGTGACACACCATGTGGTGACCTCGAAATCTCAGCAAACCTCACCGCGCGGGTCGTCACCGCACGATCTTGGACCTCGGAAGCCCCTGTCGCCCGAGACGTCCTCCGAGAACGACCCGAGCCCCAAACCCGCGCGGTGACCCCGCACCCCCACTGACTCCCCACGCGGCGTGGTCACCGCACCGTTCGGGGCCCCCTGCAAGAAACCCTGGCAAGAAACCCAACCCTGAGAACCCGCGCGCGAGGTACACCTGAGGGGAAACCCGGAGCACCCTGAGCGCAGCAGCTCCTTCTACGGCCGCGGGAAGGCACCGCGCCGCGCGAGGAGCGACGGAACCCGGGATACCCTGACGAAGAGCATATGGTTTCTTGAGGCGCGCTCCAACTGTAAGGGAAGAGGCGGTGGATGAGGCGAGAGGAAAAGGGAGGGAGGCAAGGAAGGAGATGGAGATGGAAAAGGGAGGGAGGGAAGGAAGGAGATGGAAAGGAGATGGAGGAAGGAAGGGAAGGAAAGAAAGGAAGGGAGGAAGGGAGGAAAAGGGAGGAAAGGAAGGAAGGAGATGGAAAGGAGAAGGGGGGGAGGAAAGGAACGATATGGAGATGGAAGGAAGGAGGGGAAAAGGGAGGGAGAAACGGAAGGAGATGGAGCCTGCCGTGCGCAGGCCCGCCGGCCCGGCACACCCGCAGAGGAAAGAGGGGGGAGGGGGGGAAAAGAGCGGAGGGCGGAAGGGGAGAAGGAGAAGGAGGAGGAGAAGGAAACCGAGGAGGAGGTGAAGGAGGAGGAACAGGAGGAGGAGGAGGAGGAGGAGGAGGAGGAGGAGGAGGAGGAGGAGGAGGGGGAGGACGAGGAGGAGGCGGAGGAGGAGGAGGCGGAGGAGGAGAGAGAGGGAGGAGGAGGGGAGGGATGGAGAGGGAGGGGGGTGCGAGAGGGCGGAGGACGATGGAGGGAAGGAGAACGAGGGGTGGAGGAGGCGAAAAGGACGAGGGAGGGTGGAGGAGAAAAGGAAGAAGGCGATGGATCCTGCCTCGCGCAATCCCGTCGGCCGTGCCACCCCGCGAAGGCCCGGCGGTGGGCGGGCGCGCAGCCAGGGCCGATACTCGCCGGCGACCACAGAATCCGCGAGGGCGGTGCCGCGCCGGAGGCTGGCGGTGGTGAGCGGCCACTCTATCTCCTTGGCGGCGGGGTTTGGGGGCTCCTCCCCCTCGAAACTCAAGGGGCTGGCGGGTGGCTCTCCCTATCATGGGTGCTGCCCTCCCTCCTCCTCCCCGTCTTCCTCGTCAGCCGCCAAGTCCTGGTCCTCCGTTATCCATCATGCGTTCGAAATTACCGATCGGCCAGGTTACTCGCTATGGCTGCTGCTGCTACTTCTGTTCCCACAACTGCAAGGGCGGGGCTACCTGGCGGAATCAACGGGGGCGGCGCGTTTCATTGATGTGCACGTTGTGGTGCTGGTCCCCGTCGTGCTGCTCTCTAGAAAAAAGGCGTGGGACAATCCAGCGATGAAGGAAGAGACGGCAGGGAGCAGAGCATCAGCATCAGCAACACCCAGCGGGAAGGGGGACGGGTGGAGGCGAATACGCTAGTCGAGCGCGCGGCTCGAATGGGTTCCCATGCGTCGGCATTGATAATCGCAATTCTGCTTAGCACTGCTTCCGCATCCGAAAACATAGACACGACTGGCCCTCTCGAACCGGCTGTCTGTCGCCCACCATCCAACGAGGGCGTTGCAGAGACTGCTGCCCCACGGCTGTGGGCGCATTCGGATGCACCGTTGGACTTCGGCCCCGGGGATTTTGTTTATCGCAAAAAAAATCAGACTCGGGGAAGACATGGAGGAGACGAACGGAGAAACCACGAGCGTGGGCGGGAACAGCTTGGCACCAGTGGCGCAATGGCGGCGCGTTGCACTTTCTCCTCGCTGCTCACTTCACCGCTCGCAGCGTCGACCGTATTGGGTCCAGCTTCGCGTCTTTTGTCGGACAGGTAGCCTGCTGCCGCTTCGTGAAACTCGCGCGCCAGACAAGGGCAGGCCTCGAATTCGCAAACAAAAAAGTCCACCAGCCAAGTCCATCACAGGCAAGCGTTGTGGAGCACGGGCTTCGAGAGCACCCGGTAGTTCTCAGCCCGAGTGTCTTGGGCGGCCATGGCGGATCGCAGAAGCGCGGCCATATTCAGTGAAGTAGCGCGCTTGACCTCGGGTCCCCCCGCTCGCGAAGGGAGCCGATCGGCGCGAGAGGCTGCGGCGGGGTATTCTGAACATCGCTTCGAAAAACCGATGCTCTTAATCGGCAATGTCCGCGCGAGGCAATCGCCAGAACTGACCTGCGCGACGCAGCGCGGGCAGCGCGCGACCTGCGCGCAGCGTGGGGGCGCTGGGCGGAGGGGGGGGGCCAGCAGCTGGCCGATCCGCGACTGGCCCACTTTGCGACGGGGCCAATCCAAGACGCAAGCCCGGCTCTGCGCCGGGGCCCATCTGCGGGCCTGCCTATTATAAATGACAGCCAATCCGGGGCTCATTCGGGAATGCGGGTCGAGGGCCGCGGGGGATAAAATCGCGCGGCCCTGCGCAAAAAAAACCCTCGGCGAGCGGGGCCGGGGCGCGCTCGCTGACTTCGAGGTCCACATTCGCCGCGCGCCTGCAAGCTCTCAGACGGCAACTTAAAGTTTGCCCAAGCTGGCAACTGAAACGGATGAAGGGGAACTGGGACACACAAATAAATGCACACAAATAAAAATATCCCCCATATTTTCCCATAGTTTCTGGGTTTTTGTCTTCCCCCAAACTTCCCATATTTTCCCATATTTTCTGGGGAATCGCCGATTAATTGTGTCTGTGTTTTTTTCCCTCCTGAAACTTTGCCCAAGCTGGCAACCGAAGCGGAACAATGCCTTCGTCGTCGGCACAGGCCCTCGCTGGCCCCTGCCCGCGGGCGCCCGCGGGCTCGCGCGCGGCGTTCCCGAGGCAAGCTGTCCTCGGCTGGTCCCAGAACCCATTGGACGCCCGAGTTATCCGGGGTAACTCGGGCCCAGGGTAACTCGGGCTTGGGTTCCCGAAAAAGGAACCCGAGTTAGCCCTGGCCCGAGCTACCCCTGATGATTCGGGGCTCTGGACGCCCGAAATATCCGGGGCAACTCGGGCCCGGGATAACTCGGGTTCGGAATCCCGAAAAACGAACCCGAGTTATCCCTGACCCGAGTTACCCCTGATGATTCGGGGCTCTGAACCCACCGTCAACAGAACCCGCGCATCTCCTCCGATGCCGACCAGACACCGCGCGCCCAGGTTAATCGCCGCCAGGAACGCCAAGAGACGGCCAAGGAGAAGGGGCGATTGGAGGGCCCCGAACAGCGGCTCGCGGCAGATCGACGCACACTCCTGGCCCAAGTCGAGGGCTGCGAGCACTGGCGGCCAGCTGTCGACACCGTCTCCCGTCGCAGCGGCGCGGCTCGTCGCGTCGAGCTTCGACGCGTGCTCGCCGAAGCCCCGCGCCGGGGCGGGCTCTCGCTGGGCATGGCGAACGAGTCGAGGCGTCGCTCGGCGCGGGTGATGCAGCTGGACTTGGCGACTCGCACGACGTCCGCGTTCGGCAGCCCGTGGGGGCCAAGTTTGCCTGCGGCGACGGAGGGCCCGAACCTCGTCGCCGCCCCGCTTTCCTCCGGCGAGAAAAAGGACGCGCCGCTCGCAGGGGCCGGGCAGCAGCGGCCTGCCTTCGCAAGAACGGCGGGCCCTTCAGGGAGGCGCTTCCAAACGTCGCGCGGCGACGCGCCGGGCCCACAGGCGCCGAATCAAAACCTCATATCCACATGGATTGCCCCGCTGTGGGAGGTGAGTCGCTCGGGCCGACTCCGAGACCGAGGCGGTGGAGGCGGTGTCCGGCGGCGGCGCTGTCGGCGCCCTTCTCCTCGGAGATGGGGGCCCGGCGCATCGCCGACCGATGGAAATCCCCCGCCGCCCTGGCGTTCGCTTCCAGGGTCGGGCGAAGGCCGAAGTCTTTCGAGGCAGAACTTCCGATTCAAAGGGGCCCCCACTCTCCCGCGCTCTGGAGGAGGAGGAGGAGGAGGAGGAGGAGGAGGAGGAGGAGGAGGAGGAGGAGGAGGAGCGGACCTCGGGGGGCCCGCCGGCGAAGCGGCAGCCGACTGGGGCGCGCGGGCGCGATCGTGGCCTGCGACGAGCTGGGGGCCACAGGATCCGAGAGCTCAGCTCCCCAGAGATCCAACGTATTGAAAAATCAAGACGGAGGTTTTTCACAATTTTCGGCCTCAAGGGGCCCTCGCCAGGCCTCGGGACCGTCAAATAACGATTCAGGATGAAAAACCGGTCCCGGGGAACGGGTCGAGACCTCCGGGGGCCCCGTATTGAAAAAATCACGACGTCGGATCTCTGGGTCTGGCGCCATCGGCGCCAACCTGGACGCGCGTCGCGCCCGACGGGCGCGCGCGAACACATCGGCGGGCCACTGAGACGTTCTGCTGCCGAATCGCTCACGGGGACATTCCCAATGTAGACTGTCGGGCCACGAGATCCGGAGGTTCGAGACGGGCATTCGCGTCTCGCGTCGCTCGAGCAGCTTCTCGCGCCGTCGCCCTGCGCCCAGCCCAGGGGGGGAGATGGTGGAGAGACGCGCCTGCGTGCCAATGCATCTGGTGGAGGTGGGCCCGGCGCTGGGGCCGCTTGAAAAAGCTGGCGGGATCGCGCGCCCATCGGGCTCCGCGGCGATCTCTGCCAACTCAAGATCCCCAACTGGCCGGGCAGTCTCGCGCCGCGCAGGGCGCGCCCGTGGAGGCGCCCGCCGCGCAAGATTGTGTCGGGCACCGTCCGGGAGCAGGAGCAAATCGCCTGTCGACGCTACTCAGAGCCCCCCTAGCAGCGTGATAGTGAGCAGCCAGTTCATCGAACTCGATCCCGCGCACCCATCCGAAGAGCCCTTCCCAAGACCAGCACTGCGAGCGCCTCGAACCCTGATATTGGGCCAGGGTGCTGGGGCGGGGGGCCTTGTTAGCAGCCATCGGGGGTGCAGCGGGCGCTGAAGACGCCGCCTGCGATCGCGGAGATTTGCGCTGGGTCTTCGATGGCCACCAGGTCCCGGAAGATAGCTTCGACGGTCGAATGTCCCAGGGCACTTGCTAACCACAAATTGTGCATCTTGCAGCGGTGGATCTTAACCGCATTGATCAGTTCTTTCAGAACATTGAAAGCCCTCTCAAACACCATCGGGAAGTCCTTCATTCCGGGGGGGCGGCCCCCCACCCGCAATGTTGAAATCGGGCGCGGGCGCGATCGCCCCCCCTCCCCCCGCCCCGCCGCGCGAATATCAAGAGAGCGAAGAGAAGTGGAACAGACGAGCGGGGATCATGTCGTCGTTCTGAGCGAGCGCCCGGGCCCGCCATTTTCCCGAGGCGCAACAGACTCCGATCACGCAGCGCGGGTTCTGCGGCGGAAGATGGCGCGGGCATTGCGCGGGGTAGGGGGGCGCGAGACGGATGCGCGCAGCGCCATGCTGCGCAGAGACTGTCAGGACCACCGCGCAAGTTCAGGCACTGACACAACCGAGGACACCGCATCGACGACGCGAGCTCGGTCGATGCCCAAGGCGATGACGCTGTCCGCTGCCCGCGTGACTCTTGGCGCGGCATCGCCTAGTCTCGGAACAATCTGGATGGCCGGCTTCAATTCCACTGATGCGGTGCCCTTGGCGCGGTGTGCGAAGACACGTTTCTGCGGGCGCGTGTCCTGGCTGGCCTTGCGAATATGTTTGCCCAGCTGCCCTCGCTTGATCTGACGGAGGATTTGTCAGTCGTGGCGCGGGTCCGTCTGCGGCCCGAACGCATCGGCAGTCGAGCCCCCCCCCCCCGCAGTTGCACTGTCCACGGAAAGAGCCCAACATTAGAGAAACTGTCCTGACTGAGTTATTCGTCTTGCCGTTGATGCGGACCTGGGCCCGCGCGGCTATTCTTTGCCCCCGAACGAGCACTCAGGAAGACCGAAGTTGCTCATCTCCAAGACCGGCTGTAGCGAGGTCTTGAAGATGTACCACGGTGTAAGAGATTCCGCGTGTGCCACCAAAGTCGGTCCATCTGGCTTCCTGTCAAAAAGCTGTGAGGTCCACGCTCGGTGGAAGGGCCGGCTCTTCAGCACGTAATGCGCCAACCAAGCGCCTGGGTTCGTCGACT